AAAAAAAGAATAAGAATGAGAGTAACAAAAAAGAAGAGGTAGCGTTAGTATTTGCATTTGGGAAAGGGAAGAAATCTGTTTTACACGTGGCATGGGCCCACCAGAACATTCGATGAATCGGAATGCTGACTCAGTGGTGTCGAGGATGCAACTATTCATCATCTAAGTCGATGGGTTGGGGGATCGTTTACGCAATGGGTTTGTCGTTTTAGTGTGATTCTCACTGTCTCACTGTCGTACGAGATTCCACGCGTCAATGCTGACTAGACGCCTGGATTTTGTTGAAATTACTTTCTGTTATTTTCAAAATATATATATATTTTTTAAGGAATTTATCTTTTTGAAAGAATTTTGAGTAATTAAAAATATGTTAGTGAAGTAATTTAATTTAGAACTTTTAAAACGCACGTGTACCGAATGAAAATTTAGATTTAATACCACATCGTTCAAAGTACATTACAAACCGACAACTTCAACGACACACACAAAAACATGTCATAGGTTGGTTATGAAATCTCGAAACATATCGAAGGGGTACAAGACACTGATCTAGCCCAAAACTCCATAGCTCTTAGCTTGTGCGCACCTCTGCTTCGACTGCTCCATTAGCTTACTCGTAGTTCGTAGTTCATTATAAATATATTTTCTTGGTTCTTGGTTCTCAATCTTATTTGGACCTCCAACTTTCGGAATTTTCTTAAGTTCTCTTGGTTGTCAGTTAGTTGTTTCTGCTAGTCTCTTTTATCATCATATCTATAGGTTCTTGAGGTGCGACCTCGGTATCAGTCTCATAAGGTTCATGCATGCTAAGGCTCAACCAACTCTAAGGTACAAATGTGGACTCCTACAGCTCGTGACAAGTTCACTAATCAAAACCTAACCAGAAAACTACCTAATAATCCCCATAGAGCACAAATCATGTCATAAAATCATACGACAGTTCTATAATTATTTGGACTCCTGACAATCGAGTCAGGTTTACAATTAGAGGCTAGTTGGCAAACTCTTAATTGTCCTCGTTTAACCGCTAAACTCACATGCATGAACAATAATCATAAGTCTAAGGACAACCAACTCTAAGGTACAATTGTGGACCTTTGTTGCTCGTTATAGGCTCACTATAGAAAAGCTAACGGGTAAACTTCTCAGTAGCCCCCACAGGGTACAATCATAAATCAGTTCTATAGTTATCCAGACCTTCGATAATCGAGTCTGATTTATGATTAGGGTCTAGTTGGCAAACACTTAATCTTCTCCAAATAACCACTAAAATTTCACCCATGAAATAGAGACATAACATAGCGACATAGCGACCTAACATGGAGACCTAATCTTGATCTCATATCCAAATCAATTCATAGTTCAATTTGTATGAACATGCATAACATTCAATCGTGTATCATTTTCAGCTAATTCCATACTCAAATCTTAAAAATGAGTTTCATATAATGTGTTTAACATTACACCAAAGACATGCTTTCAGTTTCGTTCAAATCATGGCTCAACAAATTATTTTTCGATAAATGCGCATCAAAACGTTCAAAGTGTTCTTACATACATCAAATCAACTCATTTCTGCTCAATTTTTATTTTACATGCTTCTTGTATTATACTTTCATGCATACTATAAACATAACTAAATTAAAAGCCCTATAGCATGCACCCGTAGTGTTTTACGACGATCGATTTGTACATCGACCCTAGTGTATTTTTGTAATAACAATAACATAATAAATAAATAAATGACGTTCAGTTTTGGGTTGGTTTAATGGCTGTGGTGCGGTAAGGAATGGGTCCCATGGGGAATAATGTTGGAAGTAGAACATTCACTCACTCAGCCAACCCTTTTTTTCCGGTTTATGTGGACGATGACGTGTAGGCTCGCGAGCAATCTAACTGTCACGAGTCATAGTTATGTTTATCTAAAATGTGTTATTTATGATCATATTTTAGATGTTTTGGTCATATTTGTTCAAGACGTGTCGTCTATAATTGCTTGTATGTTCGAAACTTATTTTACTTACTTTCATGTTAGTTATGTTTTTATTATTCTTGTTATGTCAAACCGAAAGTATACGACTGTTCGTCAAAATCACGTCTTCATTGTCATGGTTAAATACCTCAAACTGTATTATATGAGAGTGTGACTCGTCGTTAATTTTCTGATGTTTTATGTTATCAAAGTCATAGTCGTTTATACCAACGACAATCTAACAGAATCAGAGGTTTGAACATATGTCGTCTATATATATATATACACGTTCTTGTGTTCATAGTTAAGCATGGGTTAAATTACATGGACTTTGGAATTATACATAATAAATTTCTTAATTTAACTTTTTAATTTTTTTAAAGATAATATATATATATATATATATTTATTTATTGTATCGTTAGTAAAAATGTAATTTTGATAAAGTTTTAATTTATTTGAACCTAACCAATCAAAATAAGTTCATAATTCAACCTGTACCGTACCAATTGGGTTGTTGGGTTGTGTTAATCGAACTTTTTAGTACTTTCAAATTAAAAAAATCATATAAAAATGTAAAAATATATTATAAAAAATGGTTATTGCATCATAATAAATTTTTGATTAAAAAATGAAATATAAAATTAAATAAAGGAACTAAAATGATGAAAATACAAGTTTAAAAAATAAAATTAAAATGCATATGAAAAAATAAAATGTTAATTAAATATAAAGCTGGACCAAAGTAGTGGAAAATGAGAGACTAAATTAAACTTTTATTATTATTATTATTATTATTATTATTTTGGAAAAAGGAATCGAATCTAAATTAAATAATAAAGTAATTTAATGTAGGATTCTTCCCAATAATTTTCGTCCAATAATTAATAAAATTAAATACGACCGAATCCTTTATTGTTTATTTATTATTCTAAAAATAAATAAAAATATTATAATTTATTTATTATTCTAAAAATAAATAAAAATATTATAATTTGAGATATAATTAAATGATACATTAATTTATTTAATGAATTAAGGAATATAATTAATATGAAAAATTTTGTTTAGTTGTACTAAAGGATCGACCTCGTTTTCGGAATCTCGTTGGTAGTTATGATGTGGCAGATCCTCATTAGTGGACTTTTAGGACCCCACCTGAGTAGGACGCCAGCTCATCTATTCACGTGATGTTGGTGAAGTGGCGGGCCAGGTGGACCAAGAAAAGAATACATTAATTTTTTATTTCTGCTTTTGAATGTTAATTTAATTTAAATTTAATTTGTGATTTTTTTATTATAAAACATTCTTACCATTCAATTCTACCTACCTACATTAATAATTTTTATCCATTCTTAATTCATATTAACCTTTATTTAAAAATAAAAAATAAAAAAATAATCTAAATAATGATATATATATATATATTATTGAGTTAGTTTGATTTAATAAGATTGCCAAATAATTGACGGACACTCCTACAATATATATTTATATTTAATAAATATTGGAGAAAATTCGGTCATATTATATATACGTAAAATAAAAGTTTTTTTAATAATTTATTTGGTTTTTTTAAAATTTTATAAATTGAAAATCACGGTGTCTAAGATAGAAGCCCATTAGAACTTGGGCTGGGCTTTCGGAAAATATTAAATTCTCAACAATTGGGCCTTAAAGTGAAGTGGTCCAGATTCGACCAATTAAATTACAAATTTAATTTAATTTTTACCGTCTCGAAAAAATTAAAAATTTTATATCGTTAGAATTTTATCCTCAGATAAAACCTCTTAAAATATAGTTTTTACCGTTAGAAATTACCACCTCATTAAATATGTGATACTTAGTAAAACAAAATTATTTATGAAGTATTATTAAACTATATATAAGTCAACTCGACCTGACCTGAGTAAATTATATAAAATAAGACGGTTGAGAGAGGCCCGACCAACCTGAATTCTTCCATAAGTTCATGATAGTACACCTTGTTAGTTGACACATCTCGTCTCCCTCTTCCATCAATGCCCTACGAACTGAACTAATGTCGCGTCTCGCCGTCTCCCTCTCCTATTAGTCAACCTTGACTTCGATGCTCTCTCTTTCTCCTCTCTTGATGATTCCCATTTTAAACTCCTATTTTTCAACCTCTCATCTCTGACTCTCTTACCTTCCTCTTCATTAGAAAATCTTATTACATCGTGCTCGAGGGTTTGAGAGGATACGAGTACGATCAGTAGGTCAATATGTGGAGCACCGATGAGATTTTCTATACGACGTTGGTTGGATTTTCGTCGTTCTACGGTGACTCTGCTGCAAAGGTCTTTGAGGTTGTTCTTAGAGGAAATATGAGATTTCCAACTACGATTTTTTGGTTAGTTATTTGGTAGCCAAGTATGTAACGAAGAAGATGATCTATCGAGATGTTTTTAGAATTCTGTGGAAAGCCCGTATTCGATGAAAGTAGTATGTAAGGAGGGAGATCTTTCATATCTTTAGAGATCCACCCTACAATTTCTTTTCACACTATGTCACGTGGAGGTATTGCAGAAGAAAAAATTGCAAAATCCGATCCAATTTATCGTAATCGATTAGTTAACATGTTGGTTAACCGTATTGTGAAAAAATCATTGGCTTATCAAATTATCTATCGAGCCATGAAAAAGATTCAACAAAAGACAGAAACAAATCCACTATTTGTTTTACGTCAAGCAATACGTGGAGTAACTGCCGATATAGCAGTAAAGGCAAGACGTGTAGAGATTAAAAATGTCCATATGACCTGATAACTACGCATCTCGACTATCTAATCTAAATTAAAAAAGTTGAGTTGGATTAGACAAAATTACTATCATCTGAATCAATTGGGTTCGAAAAATAGGGTCACAACCTAACTCAACCTAACCTTATTCTACTTTTAAAAAGATTGAGAATATTTATCATTTGTGACCGAGACTGATAAATATTGGATTAATTAAAATAATATATATTATATATAATTTTTTAAAATATTAAAAAAAAAAAAGTCACAATCTAATCCAACCCATTTGAAATAAAGATTTAAATGAGAAAATTTAAGTTGGAGGAGAATTATCCAAAAAATGAACGTCGTCTTCCAGGCTGCCTCACACGCTTGAGTTTGGCGGCCATGGAAGAAATGGCAGAAACACAAAGGCCACAAGAACCACTCATTTGAAATCGTGGACGCAACCCAACTGAGAGATCATTTTTAACTCCAACAACAACAAGAAGATGCAGAGTTAAGCCCTCGATCACCATGGCTCCCTGTTCTTCCTCCTCTGTTCTCCTCCATTGAAATCCATGCTCAATATTCTCTCTGGATAATCCTCCTCCTTCTCCATCAGCCATGTCTCTCGCTCATTGCTTGTTCTCAACTTCCAGAGCTCTCACCAAATCTCATCCTCCTTCTCCCTCTGTTTTACCCAACAATCGCCCATCTTTCTTCTTACTCCAAACCCAGATTCTCAATAGACATTATTTCTTGGCTCACAAGCCTTACCACTGTTCTTCCACTTCGAGATTCAAGCACCCTTTTGCCGGAATATCCTCGTTTGCTGAAGCAGACGGCGGAGGAAAACAGGAAACCATTCAATTCAGTAAGAATCATGAGGTTGAGAAAGCTGCAGGGGAAGAGGAATTACCCGGGATGGCTCAGGCTTTTCACATTTCTTCAAGGACTGCCACTGTTATTATAACATGTATAGCATTTTCAGCGCTCAGTTTCCCACTTTTCATGAAGTCTTTGGGGCAGGGTTTGGCTTTGAAGACCAAGATTCTGTCGTATGCCACTTTGTTGTTTGGGTTTTATATGGCTTGGAATATTGGAGCCAATGATGTGGCTAATGCTATGGGGACCTCTGTCGGCTCCGGCGCATTGACGCTCCGGCAGGCGGTGGTCACAGCGGCGGTTTTGGAATTCTCTGGGGCGTTACTTATGGGAACCCATGTCACCAGCACAATGCAAAATGGGATTCTTGTGGCTGGTGTGTTTCAGGGAAAGGATATGCTGCACTTTGTTGGGCTGCTTTCGTCTTTGGCTGCCGCTGGTTCTTGGCTGCAGGTACTAACATTTAGTCAAATTCATAGATAATTTCTTTTTCTGCCACAAATATGACTCTTAATAGCTCAAATAATAGCATTTCGTAGTGAAAATTGAGAGAGGTATATTACAACTCTTAATTTGATTTTAGAGAATTTAAAAATAGTAAACGATGGTTTAAATTCCAACAAAATACTGCCATTTAAGTCTGTTTTATTAGGAGGAATCATGACTCTCTACAATAGTATGATATTGTCTACTTTGAGCATAAGCTCTCGTAGCCTCCCCAAAAGGCCTCATTATCAATAGAGATGAATTCCTTACTTATAAACTCATGATCATTCCCTAAATTAGCCAATGTGAAACTCTCTCTCATCAATCTTCAACATGTCTGATTTTAAAAATTAGTATTATAAATGCTATATCTTTGTCTCTGTGTTGTTATCCACTTTTGACAAATATTTTGAAAACTAAAAAACGTTTTTAATTCAAATATTTTCTTAAGAAAGAAATTAGCAAGAGATAATTGTCAATGTAAGAATAAAAATAGCAAAAGAATCTCTAACTTTACCTGTTTATCTTTCAATATCTCTGCTAAGATTGCATCATATTATGGATGGCCCGTCTCGACCACGCATTGTATAGTGGGATCAATGGTTGGATTTGGTCTTGTCTATGGCGGAGTTGGAGCTGTCTTCTGGGGCTCATTGGCGAGAGTTGCTTCTTCATGGGTGATTTCTCCATTAATTGGAGCACTGGCCTCATTCCTTGTCTACAAGTGCATTCGTAGGGTGTGTTCCTTGAGTCCTTGCCTTGATTAAGCCATTGCATTCATAGGAACCTGAAAAATAATTAACTGTATGTTATTTTCAGTTTGTGTACAGTGCAAAGAACCCAGGACAGGCAGCTGCAGCAGCTGCACCGTTACTCGTATTCCTCGGCGTAACTGGAATATCATATATATCATTTCCATTGAGTAAGAATCTTAAATGGGTTGTAGCACAGGCAGTAGGCTTTGGAGTAGTAGGAGCATTCCTTGTCTACAAAATAATTCAGAGACAACTTGGGCATCTACTCAACAAAGCTGCTGCTTCGTCTATGAAGAAGGCAGACGAGAGTACAACTGAGGAGAAAAACATTGGATTTCTAGATGAGATAGCAGGTCCAAAGGGAACTCAATTGGAGATAGTTTATGGGGTATTTGGATATATGCAGGTTCTTTCTGCTTGCTTTATGTCATTTGCTCATGGTGGAAATGATGTATCAAATGCAATCGGCCCCTTGGCTGCTGCGTTGTCGATACTTCATGGCAGTGTCGGTGGCGCCGAGATTGTCATTCCACTTGATGTTCTTGCTTGGGGAGGGTTTGGAATTGTAGCCGGGTTGATGATATGGGGCTATAGAGTGATAGCAACCATTGGGAAGAAGATTACAGAGCTCACACCAACAAGAGGATTTGCAGCGGAATTTGCTGCTGCTTCTGTGGTTCTAATTGCATCTAAACTGGGTTTGCCAATCTCAGCAACACATACATTGGTTGGTGCAGTCATGGGGGTTGGCTTTGCTAGGGGACTCAACAGTGTTAGATCAGAAACTGTGAGAGAGATTGTTCTTTCTTGGGCTGTGACCATTCCTGTTGGTGCTTTCCTTTCAGTTCTCTATACATGGATCTTGACCAAGCTGTTGGCGTATGTTTTATGACGCATGTATGTCGAGAATTTCAGATATGCCTCTTCAAACAATTTGTGTATTTGGTTCATTCAATATATCTTCTTCCTTTCCCAAATGGGAATCGCTTGTTTATATACAGCATCAATGAAGCAACTGGTGTGTTGCTTGTTTTCAGCCTCTTTTTCCTTCTTGCTATTTGGATCCTTGCAGAAGATGTCTGTAATACTGCAGACTGAACTAAGGGAAATGAATTTTGTGTTAGTCTGGCAGTGTAATCATTCTTTCAATGTATCAAATAGGCCTACTCATTTCAAACACTTGAGAACAAAATCAACGGCCTGGGGAATCAAACACCCGAGTGCATGGTAGGGGTAAACACCAGAATTGTAGAGTGCTTGTGCACTATTGTGAGATCCCACATCGGTTGGAGAGGAGAACGAAGCATTCTTTACAAGGGTGTGGAAACCTCTCCCTAGCTGACGCGTTTTAAAACTTTGAGGGAAAGCCCGAAAGAAAAAGCTCAAAGAGGACAATATCTGCTAGCGGTGGGCTTGGGTTGTTACAACTATCATTTCACAGACTCATAATCAGTGATCTTCTCATCCAACAGTCAGCTGCTTAAAAGTTCTCTGTGTTGCTTAACTTCAGTTTCTCAGTGTTAGCAGAAGGAATGATAGACTGTAGCTGACAGAGTGACAAGAACATTGATATTCTTGACTGGTTTCACTGATATTCATGGTCACATGGAATGCTGAGCTTTCATCAATAAACGAACAGAAAGAGCATTTGATCGAACCCTTAAAATTCATCTGAAGAACACGTTGTATGCACCAATGGTCTAGCCACAAGCTCAACGTTTACCTTCCAATAGTATCTCTCTTCCAAATTCATGCCTGTGGGAGAGAAGGCAAAAAGCCATCCAATTTGAAAGTAGTTTCTTCAAGTCCTCCGCTCTACTAAAGGAACTCACCAAATTTTACCTTGCAAGTTATGCTTGCACATCCTTGTGCTCGTGTCATACTCCCAAAGGCCTGAAAACATTTGACGTTCTAGTTTCTTTAGTCTTCCACTAATCCAGTTATTGTGGAGAACAAAACAGCCCTTCTTCCTGCAGGCTGTTTTGATATTTTTCTTTTTCCAAAGTTCTTGGTATGCACCGTTAGGGAAGAGGTTTCTATCCAAAAAATGAACAGTTAAATTCGTTTCAGGCTCCAAGCATTTAGTACTACCCTTTCGATTAGTACCACCCTCCCCACAAAGGGTATCATAGAAGCTTGGCTGCTCCGATTGGCCCGAAGTTGCTGCATGCTTCACCACCTTCTCCATGGCAGCTATTGTTGATCCATCAGAACGAGCAAAATAAAACCCAGAGTTCAGGCGTCTAGGTAAGTTAATTGGTCCTGCATATACAATCAAACAAGAAAGTGACATAAACAATTGGATAAACTGGAATATAAATATCTTCCATAAACGCCAAATAATAGTTTTAGTTTAGAATATCTCTGTGCATTCCAAGTTTCCTGTTCCCTTATTAAATTTAAACTGTTTTCAATATTGGTCGTGTAATTCATAACATACGAAAACAGAGACTTTCATTTAAATGTTAGAAATCACGATTCTTCACAATGGTATGATATTGTCCATTTTGAGCATAAGCTCTCGTGGCTTTGCTCTAGGCTTCCCCAAAAGGCCTCGTACCAATGAAGATGTATTCCTTACTTATAAATCCATGATCATTTCCTAAATTAGCCAATGTGAGACTCCCTCCAACAATCCTCAACATTAAACATTAAACACATGCTAGGATAGGAATCAAACCTGTCTTCTTGTATTCATCAGATTGTGCAGCAAGAACACCAGAACCAAAACTGTAAAGAAAAGGCAGAGGGTTTTTAAACCAATATATATCAACGTCACTGAGAAGTACGTTGTAACCCAGCTTTAAAATTCTTAAAACCATTCTGGACTTCACTTTTGTCACCCTCTGAAAGCACTCTGTTCCAAAGTGACAGTCATTGAAACTGATATTGGTTGGAGCCAATGGATGTCTATAGACAGGCAAGCCCTAGCATAAAAAAATAAAATCTAATAAAAACCATAGCAGACAAGACTAAAGCACACAAAGAACAGAGAGCCAGAAGAACCTGCAAGACTGAGAAATGATAGGTGTCAGAATCAAGGGCACAAACTAAATAATTTGGTATCTGTAGGTGGCGCAATCTGCAAACCCAGCTCATTAACATGTCCTTGTAACTATATCCAGCAACTGTCAGTACAATTGTCTTATTCTTGTCTGCAATTAGGGGAAGGAGAAACTCTAAGGAAAATGGAAACTCTAAAGTTTCTGAAGATGATACCCTTTTTTCCAATGAGCAATCATGTAGTCTATTCAGTGATCGAAAGCCATGGTCACAAGCCGTAGGCTTCTTCATCTTCTTCTTCCCAAAATGCAACAGCTGCGTGTTCCATAAACTAAGGATTCTCTGGTTCTTTGGCAGATAAGTTGCATTTTCTGTTGTGTTGGTCAGAATATATTGCTCATTACATTTGAGAAGTTTCACCAGACTAGAATATTTAGCATCCGGATGAAATGAAGATCCATATAGTGAACCAAGAAGGTAGTTGCCAGAATATTCCCAGCTTCTTGTTTCATTATCAGATGGTTGCTCTGGATCTTGGAGATAGAAACTGCTGATGGTCCAACTAGCATCAAACACAAACCTGAATTCAGATGCCACAGCTTCATTGATGACCCAATTGTTATGGATCCCTCTTCCATACAGGAAGGGAGGAAGAACTCCACTGTGCAACGGAATGTCCTGGTTGTTCCATGCCAATAGTTCCTTCCCTCCACAGTGACTCCATCGCCAATGCTCATTGAGCAGCTCCTGGAACCAAAAGAAAGCAAGAAAATAACGAGTTGCTCAGTTGTTGTCTCAATCCCAGAAAAAAGTCTGCAAGATGCTACTTAGTACCTTCTGTAATCTCGTCGATTTTTTATCCTCCGTTGGGAAATGTCTCTTGGACTCATCAAAGTAGAATGGTATGTAGGAGATGTTTCGGGACGAAGCAACCAGCAGCCAATCACGGTTGAGTTTGTAAGCATAATTCAGAGTGGAAATAAAATCAGGAAGAAGAATAGTTTCAGGATGAACAAAGGCACAAATGTCTGATGCAAATGACTGAGACCTTGCCATCATTGAATGGAAATATGGGGTTCCAAGGAATCTAGACAAACAAGACAAAAAGAAAAATGATCAATATCATGTGCAGTTATCATGATGTATCATATTTCTTCACGAGGGCTAATGCAGTATCTCTTCTTCATGGTGATCAACATTTTAATCTATGATAAGCTTCTCATCTGGATTTAGCCAGAGAAAGAGCAGATATTCAGATTTTTTTCAAGTCCTAATCCAGTAGATGCTTTTACCCTTCCTCGATAGAACTAACCAAACCAACAGGTTTTGATGACACCAAAATTCCTAAACAAACACCAATGAATACTGATATGAACAAAAGCAATCGACGAACTACATCTGAAATTTGTAAGCACTTAGAAATTCTTTTACAACATAACAATTTTACTTACGTAAAATCAATGTCGCTATCAACATAAACCCGCGAACTGAGAGAACGTGCATATGCGACAACGGAAAGGTCTTGGCTGAACAGAACGACTGTAATTTGTGGGGTAAGAGCAAGCCATGACCGAATAGCCAAGCTCTGTCGAACGCCAATATTACCAGTGAAAGAGCGAGGCGCAGAGAATATGGAAACTGAAGGACTACGTCGATCGCCGAAGGCTGTGTAGCGAAGCTTGGGCTTCACAAAACGATCCTTGAGTGAAGGCAAACTTTGAGTAGCGTATAACGAGAGAGCAATCAATACCAATCCGGAGAGCCAAATCGACCAAAGTCCTGCCTCAATCGCCTGTCGGAAAACAGAAACAAAACATCAACAGAAGAAGAAAGCAAGATTTAACAGAAGGAAAAATGGATGGAATCGAAAACGCCAAAGACCTTCATACTGCGCAATGTTCGTCACGGAAGATCGGCATGAACATAGAGAGGTAAAACTTATTGTATCTGAGAGCTAAGAGAGAGAGATTTTGTGAAACTTTAACCGAAAGAAATGCAATGCAAAAGTAACAAACGCACCAGTTCCATTAGCGCGCCATCAGAAACGGAGCACGCCACCGGCCATGTGAGGGCTGTCGTTTTCTGAAGCTAATAATACTTTAATGCCCACTGAGATTGCTTCGTTTATCCCTTCCCTTCTACCTATGAATGTGAAATATGATTATCGAAATTTGAAAGCACCATTTTCTGCATTCCACCATTAATGAAGCTAAGATCCATTTACGATTTCAACAGACAGACAGAGAGAGAGAGAGAGAGAGAGAGTCGAGCTGGATTCGTTCATCTTTAAATCCTATGATTATTTTTCAAAAAATATTTTTTCCTCTCAATTACTTATTTTTTTTAATTATTTAAAAAAATCTTATAATATATATAAATTTAATAACTAAATTCTATAAAACTTTGAATTAAAAAATTCATGAGTTATAATGTATCACTCAAATCGGTTACAAATGTCAAATATTTTTAATTCTATTTGAGTTGAATAGTTCGAATTGCTCAATTTAAAATTTTCAACTTAAACCGAATAAAAAATAAATATATATAGTATTAAAATGATAATTAGTGTTTTATCTTAATACGCTCGACACTCTGACACTCAAATCAGACAAATCAGACACCGAGAGGGAGAGGGAGAGGGAGAGGGAGAGGGAGAGGGAGAGAGGGAAGGAGAGGGAGAGAGGGAGAGGGAGAGGAAATG